CTGACCCTGGGTGTCCTGCACTGCAGGCGGACTCGCTGCCATCTGAGCCAGCAGGGAAGCTCCAGGACACATCACATGTTTAGCCAAAAACACAGCCTTGATACATTTAAAATGACAGACATCACACAAAGTATCGTTTCCAATTACAATGGGATAAAATTAGAAATCAGTAAGAGGGAAACTAGAGAAATAACAGCTCTGTGGAAATTAAGTGACACTCAGAAGAACCAGTGGGTCAAAGAAGAAATCAAAGAAGGGAAATCAGAACATACTTCAGATGACCGAAGAGAAAACCACATCATATCAATACTTACAGGATGCAGCAAAAGCAGTGCCAAACGGGAAATTTATATGCAAAATGCTTACATTTTTAAAATGAAGAAAAATCTCCAGTCAGTGATCTCACTTTACAACTTATGGGACTAGAAAAATAAGAAGAAACGAACACCCACAGCTAACAGAAGGAAGGAAATAATACAGATATAAGCAGAGGTAAGTGACGTGGAGAACAGAAAAATAACTGAGCAAAAGCTGGTTCTTCACAAAGGTCAGTGATACTGACACACCTTGAGCTCAATGGACAAAGAAAAACAGATGAAAGACTCAAACTGCTAAACTCAAAGATTACACTGGGAACACTGCTACCAAGTTTATAGAAACTAGGGTTATGAAAGAGCAGTAAGAACAAACCAGACACCCTAAGTGAAATGTACAAACCCCTAAAAACACAAAACCTACCAAGACTGAATCGTGAAGAAACAGAAAAATCTTAACAGACCTGTAACCTATACAGAGACTGAACAGTAATACAAATCTGATACCAAAGCAGAGCCCTAGGTCTGACGATCTCACGGTGCAATGTTAGCCATCTAAACATGTCGAGGACTGACACCAGGGCGTCCCGGAGGGCCAGCGGCTAAAGCCTCCGCGCTCCCAGTGCAGGGGCCTGGGCTCAGTCCCTGGTCAGGGAAGTGGACCCCGCATGCTGCAAGCGACACCCAAGATCCCCATGCCACAGCTACCTAACTCATTCCATGAGGCCAGCTGCCCTAATACCAAAGCCAGACACAGACAACAAGCCAACTACAAACCAACATCCCTGACGCACACTGAGACAAAAATCCTCGACAAAATAAGCAAGTCAAATTCAGCAGAGTATTAAAAGGATTATACCCCATGACCAAGTGTGACTTATTCCTGGAATGCAAGCAAGGATGCGTCCAAATATGAAAATCAATCAGTATGATATGTCACATAAATAGAGCGAAGGAGAAAAACCACATGATCAGCTTAACTGATGCAGAAAAAGTATCTGATGTTAAAACTGAATACCTTCATGATAAAAGGCTGCACCTGCAAGGTCCACAGGGAACACTGTGCTCCCTGTAAAGGCTGAATGCTTTCCCTGGAGACCAGGAGCAAGGCACGGACGCCCAGGCCCGTCTTCTCTACGCTGCCGAACAGCGCTGGAGTCCAGCCAGAGCAACGAGCAAGAAACACGCTGGAAAGGAAGCAGCAGAGCTATTTATGCAGAGGGTCCACACACGACATCCTAAGGCTTCCACACACAGAACTATTACCTTGTGAGTGAATTCAGCAAATAACAGATACAGTCAACACAAAAATCAGCTGCACTTCTGTAGGTTAACAGTGAACAGCCCAAAAAGGAAATTAAGAAAACAACTGTTTCCAATAGCATTAAAGAAAATTCAGGGATTAACCAAGGAGGTGAGACATGTGTACATATTCCAGAAAGAAATTAAAGAAGACACAAATAATTGGAAACACATTCTATATTCATGAATTGGAAGATGATATAATTAATAATAAATACTAAAAAAAAAATAATACTAAGCAAAGAGACCCACAGAGTTAAGAAAATTCAAATCAAAATGCAAATGATTGGTTTGTAGAAATAGAAAGGTCTATCCTAAACTTCATATGTAAATTCAAGTGACTCTCAACAGACAAAAATGACTCTGAAAAAGAAGAACAAAGCTGGGGACACATGTTCTGAGTTCAGAGCTTGACCACTGAGTGAGAGGAGGCAGAACAGTGAGACGCTGGCGTACAGACAGACAGAGACTAGTGGAACGGTCTCGAGAGCCCAGAAATAAACCCGTGCACACACTGTCAAATGATTTTCAATCGGGTTGCCAAGACCATACCATGGGAAAAGGAGTCTTTTCAACCAACGGTGCTGGAAAACTGGATGTCCCCATGCAGAAGAATGAAACCATACCCTTACGTAACAGTAACACAACAAACACCCTCAAAATAAATCACAGCCTTGCAAAGCTAAATCTGTAAAACTCTGAGATGAAACCACAGGACAGGTTTAATGGCCTTGGATTTGGCACTGATTTCCTGGGTGCCAATTTGTAGCCAATGAAGAAAAAACAAACTGTCACTGATGAGAATTCATCAGGATCATCAGCCAGATGAAAACCAAAACTCCACTAGATGCCAGCTCGCATCCACGAGGAAGGGTGACACCAGGAAAATAGCGAATGTTGACGAGGATGTAGAGAAACTGGAACCCCTGTGCGGTGTTGATGGGAATGTAAAATGGTGCAGGCAAAGTGGGAAAGTGTAGAGCGGGGCCTTAAGACACCACAAACGGGATCAGCCACACGACTGCACAACTCCACCTCCAGGCACACACCCAGAGAACTGGTGAGCAGGGTCTTGCACAGATAACTGCACACCATCAGGGCAACAGAGCGCCCAGGCCGAGACCCCCACACACGGCGAGGCTTCTCAGTAAAGCTGCCTACACACTGTAATGAGAGAAGGCTGATCTTTTTAAAAACGGTGCTGGGACAACTGGAAAAAAATGAAAGCATCTTGACCCCTACCTCTTACAATGCAAAAATATAAATTCCCAAATCAAAACCTTAACGTGAAAGGGAACACTGTAAAAACTCCTGAAGAAAATGCTGGTACAAGTCTGTGCCTGTGTTAGGCAAAGATGTTAAGATGCCACAAGAAGCACTACCTGTGAGAGGGGTGCCTGGGAAAAGAACTTCATCAGAAGGAACACACTTTGTTAAAGAAATGAAACAAGCCTCAAGCTGAGAACACAGTCTTTACACATCTACCTGATCAAAGACTTGCGTCTAGAATATATAGCAAACTCTTACTGCTTGAAGATAAGGCAAACAACCTACTGGAGAAAAAGGAAAAGGATCTGAATGCTCACGTCAGGAAACAAAAAATTCAAGTGGCAAATGAGCCTGCGGACTGAATGAGCCACACTCAGTCACCAGGAAATGTAATTACCACCACAAGGGAACGGAAGGCCACTTGGCAGCCTCTGCTTGCGGCCCGGCCTGAGTAGGGGCAGTGGCCTCTGTGCGGCAGCACCCGTGGTGACAAGCCACAGGGCACTCAGGATTCGCCCCATGACCGTGGAGGCCTCCATGGTGGACTCTGCAGGATCCACTAGAACACGCGCAACAAGGTCCAGGCCCTCTGCTGGCGTCCCCGTGCTGCTGCGCTCGGCCACCGGGGGGTCTCTGGTGCCCACCACGTAAGCACAGGTCTGAGAAAGGCGAGCAGTCCACAGGCGCAAACGAAAGCTATGAAAGCACCAGGAAATGAAAGGAAATTTCATCATCTTGGAGCAGAAAACACGTTCCTCAGCAAGACCCCAAACTCAGGCAGCGTGAGGGAAAGACCCTAGGGGCCACTGCAGAGAGAGGCAGGCGTGCAGCCTGTGGGCAGAGCACACCAGACCTCGGGCTGACGCGAGACCCACACAGCCAAGGACAGAGCGTGCACGGGCATAAAAACCCACCGCGAACCAGCATGAGACGGGCCGTGCAGAGACAGGCGCGACTCTGAACACTAAGTATCAGAGCAGAACATGAGCGTGAGAACGCCCCCCGCATTCGTTAGCTAGAGTTTACAACAGAAACGGGACGCCACCTTTCATGTATCCTTCTAAAAAGCCCAGAAATCCTGAAAACACATTGTGCTGGCTGAGGAGCAGGAGACCAGGTCCCCAGCAATGCTGGTAGGGACGTAACTGTTCAAGACACCTGACCGCACACAGCAGGCGCGGGTGATCACATCGCAGTGTGTGCGAGTGTGAGGAGAGGGGAGCCCGAGGATGGCCCAGCCCCGGGAGAGGGGAGCCCGGGGACGGCCCAGCCCTCAGGGAGGGGAGCCCTAGGATGGCCCAGCCCTGGGAGAGGGGAGCCCGAGGATGGCCCAGCCCCAGGAGAGGGGAGCCCGAGGATGGCCCAGCCCCAGGAGAGGGGAGCACGGGGACGGCCCAGCCCTCGGGAAGGGGAACCTGGGGACGGCCCAGCCCTCGGGGAGGGGAGCCCGAGGATGGCCCAGCCCCGGGAGAGGGGAGCCCGGGGACGGCCCAGCCCTCAGGGAGGGGAGCCCTAGGATGGCCCAGCCCCGGGAGAGGGGAGCCCAGGGACGGCCCAGCCCCCGGGGAGGGGAGCCCGGACGGCCCAGCTCTGGGAGAGGGGAGCCCGGCAACGACCCAGCCCTCGGGGAGGGGAGCCCTAGGATGGCCCAGCCCCGGGAGAGGGGAGCCCAGGGACGGCCCAGCCCTCGGGGAGGGGAGCCCGGACGGCCCAGCTCTGGGAGAGGGGAGCCCGGCAACGACCCAGCCCTCGGGGAGGGGAGCCCTAGGATGGCCCAGCCCCGGGAGAGGGGAGCCCAGGGACGGCCCAGCCCTCGGGAAAGGGGAGCCCGGACGGCCCAGCCCCGGGAGAGGGGAGCCCAGGGACGGCCCAGCCCTCGGGGAGGGGAGCCCGGACGGCCCAGCCCCGGGAGAGGGGAGCCCGGCAACGACCCAGCCCTCGGGGAGGGGAGCCCTAGGATGGCCCAGCCCCGGGAGGGGAGCCGGACGATGGCCCAGCCCTGGGAAAGGGGAGCCCGGGGATGGCCCAGCCCTCAGGGTGGAGAGCCCGGGGATGGCCCAGCCCTGGGGCCGGGGGAGGCCAGCTCCAGTCAGACCCATGGGCCCAGTGGCTCACCTGCTCCACGTGGGGCTCCTTGGCAAAGGAGATCCTGGCAATGGAGTGGGACGCAATGCATAGCTCCTGCCCGTTCACCTCGCCTTCCTCTACCTCCACAATGCCTGCAAGGGAACACGTCAGCCCCGTGCCAGCCGCCCGCCTCTGTGGCCCAGGGCTCACCTCATCTGAACACCGCAGGCACTGAGGCAGCCACAGCCCCTCACAGGACCCCCAGGCATCAGGAGGGAAGACACCACTCCTCTCACGGCTGAGCCCGGTGACCTCTGGGGTGACCCTGCCCTCCCGCTCCCAGGAGATGACAGGGGGGACGTGCGGCTAGAGGAGGGGACCCCCCTGACAGCCCCCCACTTTCCAGGCCGCCAACACCTGGGGCAGCGTGGCTGGCCCTGCTGGTCCACCAGCTTCAGGAAGCGAGCGCTCACTTGAGCCAATGAGCGAAGTACGGGTGACGCCGGCAGGGTCTGAACCCATGGACCTGGTGAACTACTTTAGAATGAACTTCTCTGGGGGCAAAGCCAACTTCCAGACAGAACTTTCACTCCTGGTTGAGGCCCCCCCGGAGGCCCACCTGCATGGGAAACATGGGGCTCGCACAGACGTGAGCGGGAGCGCTGAGACAGGAAGCAGCCCGTTCCCGCAGGAGCTCCCGCAGCCCTGCTCCCGCCTCGGGAAGGCGCCCACAGGGCCCCGGCCAGGCGCCTGTGCGGGCAGCCCGGGGAGGTGCGTACCTGTGTTCTGGGCGCTGACGAAGGCCACCTTGTTGGTATCGGGCTCCAGGCGGATGAAGCCGCACTCCCTGTGCATGGGTTTGTGCGTGTCCGGGTGGAAGGCGCTGAACCTGGACCAGGAATCGGCAGGTGGGGCCCCAGGCACCCAGTGCCCAGCACAGCACGTGCAGACGCGGTGGGCCACCCTCCTCACCCAGTGACCGCGAAGTGCCACACGGGGCAGGCACGTGAAGGACACAGCGGAGACCCGGGGAGCACGGGGATGGCCGCCCCGTCCGCTCGTCTCCTCTGTCGCGGCGGGGCCTGCCCGGCACCCTGCTGTCTGTCATGCAGGGCGTGCCCCCCAGGCCCATCAGCACCTCCCACACTCCTCGGTCTAAACACCCCACCAGCACTGTCAAGCCCATCCCTCCAGCGCTGCCTTCCCACTGCTGAGCTAGCATCCTACTCAGGGGCACACCGGTTCATGTGTGAGACACAAGCGAGCAGCCTGCGACTCATCACTCCGCCTCCCCTGCAGGCCCACGGCGGGGGCACAGCGCCGGCTTACGACTCACAGCCCGCGGGCTCAGCAGCGCTGGGAGGGAACCCAGTGCTGACAGCATGTGACAGGCGGGGGTCCCGGCTCACACACCCTCCTGCGACCACAACCCCTCACGAGAAATACATCTACTGCCCACACAAGCACTATTGCCCTGACCCAAACACCTGTTTTCTACTCTCTTCACTTTTCTTTAACGGCGGTCACTGAATGACCAGCATTAAGAGAAAACTAATGAACGCTAGTCGTAAATTCCTCTAAAGGGCTGTGACTCGTGGTTCTGTTTTACACGACCTGGCATTTCCACCTTTTGGTTCATATGCAGGCCATTCTTCCTCCTTACCCTTGCAGTCAGAATAAAATGAAAAGGCACGAGATAGTGCAGCCTCCGCTACCCCCACCCGGTGCCCCCCACCCAGGCGCCCTGCTCTGAGAGTGGCAGGAAGCCCGGTCTGAGACCTGTGATTCCCCTGCCTCTCTCGACCCTGGCTGGTGCAGCACAGGACCACAGGAAAGCCAGGCCCAATCTCCAGAAACCCTGGGGTGGCTGACTTCCACAGGGCACCGCGGATGCCTCCTGTCTGCATTAACAAGCTGAGACTGCTCAGTGTCTCTGGCCAGGCCCGGGGCGGGCACTCATCCTGCGGGGCGTGGCAGGCACTTACGAGAAGTTGAGCATGGGCTGGCCCACGTGCGAGATGTGCGCCTCCTCCAGGTACCGGAAGGGCTGCAGCGTCGGGAAGGTCCCGGCTCCCGGCGGCTCTGACAGCCAGGTGCCCAGCATCCAGGACAGCGGCTCTACCACGGGGCTCATCCTAGGGGGCTCTGCGGACAGAGAGAGGCGTGAGCAGCTGCTGCCAGCTGTCCCGGGCAGCTTAGCGTGAACTGCGCACCATGTACCTGGCAGGCCCCAGTCATCACAGATTGACCTGCAGGGCCTGACCTCGCCCGCAGCTAACATGAGCCTCAATCTCCTCTCTCGGCAGGGAGAACAAGGCCGCGCTGCCGGCAGGCCCCGTCCTGCTGGACCAGCTCCAGAGCTCGCAGCTCCTGGGACACAGTGGACGGCCCGGCGGTGGGGGGAGGCCAGGGGCCCAGGGCCTCAGAGGAGGTTGAAAAGGCAGCGTCACCAGCCCCTGGGCTGGTCAGGGTGCCCCCGCACGGCAGCCCGGCCCTGCGGATGAAGGCAGGGGGAGACCGTGGGCGGCATGACAGGGGGCTCTGGGCCGGGAGGGCGCACCCTGCCCACCAGGCGGGGCCCACGGCAGCAGCGCTGGGCGGAGACTGCTACCCGCGGGCGCCAAAGGGCCCTGCCACTGAGGGTGAGGGCGACGGCAGGCCTCGCGGGCAGGGGGCAGGTGGGCACTGGGACTGCAGACGAGGGTGGGTGCGCAGACCAGTCTGCCGGGCGCCCAGGCCCCACGCCCCAGGCCCCGCGGTCAGGGTGCAGGCGCTGCTGAGCAGCTTTCCAGAAACCAGCCCGCGGGACTCCCTGAGACCATGGGAAGACGGGGCTGGGCCCGCACGGCCCACCGGGCACGGGGGACAGGGGGGCTGACTCCCAGTCCGCCGGCTTCCCACTCCTGGCCACGCCTCAGACCGAGCGTCTCCAGGCAGACTGAGGGGGCGGGGAGGCGAGGCGGGCGCCACCGAGCCCGTGCAGGAGCCACGCTTCTTTTCTCCTGCAGCATGTGGCCTGTGGGATCCTAGCCCCCCATTAGGGGTCGAACCTGGGCCCCAGCAGTGGGAGCATGGAGTCTTAGCCACTGGGCCCCAGGGAAGTCCTGAGGCTAGGCTACTGAATGGCCGCTTCTGCGCCAAGCCCCAAACACCAGCACAAAGGAACCAGCTCCTCAGGCGTACACACCACACACAGCATGGGGCTGCCCATGCTGCTGGAAGCACCCTGGCTCCTAAGATCACACGGCCTACGACTGCAGGTGGAGTGCGGTCTGGGAGAACGACCCGGGGGAAGCTCAAAGGGCTCTGGAGGTGAAGCGACTCCCTCGACTGAGAATGCTGGGGACGGAGCGCACGGGGGCCGTGCTCGAGGACCGGCAGGTGGAGGACGGGGTGTGCACCTACGACTTCTGAGATCCCCGAGGCAACAATGGGTGGCCGGGGGGTGGGGGCACACACTCCTTCCTCCTCCGGCCTGGCTGTCTCTCCCAGGACTCCCTTTCCAAATTGCCCGTGGAAAGTCAGGGCTGAGGATGGTGACTCTGGAGCCGACTGACAACGCTCTCACATTTAGACAGCAAGAAAAACCGAGATTGGGACTTCAGGAACAACCTCCAGTGGAAGGAAAGACCAGGAGCTTCGGACTTGGTGGTCTTGGACCGGCAGACCCTGCTGCTCTGACTTCTGGCGACACGTGGCTCCATTCCCTCCTCCGCGACGTGGCTGACGCTCGTCCACGGACAGGAACCCAGCAGAAAGTTGACGGGAGACGCGCACACGTGCCGGGAGTGAGCACACGGGGTGGCGTCTCAGGGACAGAAGGTGCAACACGAGGTACTGGCCGGGCAGGAACAGGCAGCCGGTGTGGCTGGGAAAGGCTGGCCGGCTGGAAGAGCCGTTCGCGCCCCCGGAAAGGCCCCGGCCTCCCGTCTGAGCAGAGCCCTGAGGCCTGGCGGAAGGGCTGAGGCCCCCCGCTGCAGGAAGCAGCTGGAGGAGGACGGCCCCGCAGCAGCAACGGACGCGGCTGGAAGGGCAGGAAACCAAGGCCGGCAGCCCTCCTGCCCTAGAACCTGCCCCAGAGAGACGGAAACGCAGCCCCCCGAGGCCTGAACACACCGCTCGCCCGGAACACCCCGAACGCCCTCCCGTGTCAGGAGAACAACAGAACATGCAGACATGGCGTGACCTGGCCTCAGAGAGGAGGGAAGCGCCGAGAAGAGGCTCTGAGCACGACCCGGAAAACGTGCCTGGGAGAGGGGGGCCAGACCCACACGGCACACGAGCCGTCTGCAGGGCATGCCTGACGGCCAGGGCGGAGCAGGCAGGCCTGAGAGCCGCAGGCCACACAGGGCAGCTCCCCACAGCCTGCCTCCCTGAACACCGAGCCCGTGAAACACGGCTGCTCCCACGATGCACTCCCAGAGCAAGACCCCACGCGGGATTTAAAAACCTCACCCCAAAATACAGGACTTCGCCCACCCCGGCATTTTGAAGTACTGGTGGCTACATGTCCAAACAATGTTTCATACAGTATTGAGCTAAACAGCTCATCAAAGCTAACTTCACTCGTTTCCCTTGACCTTTTTGACGCATTTAGTAGAAATCTTAAAATTAGGTGGGAACTCACACCATGTTCCCGCTGATAGCACTGGAAAGGAGCATTCAACACTCAGGGGACGGGTCCCGGGAATACTGCTGAGGGGTCCCGCCAGTCTTCACTGAAAGCTGCCGTGCGGTGCCGGCAGAGCAGCTGCAGGAAGCCCCTCGCGCGGCCCAGGAGACGTGAGCGCCAGGCCCAGCACGCGGGGGGGCGCGTCTGCCAGGGAGCGGGGCGGGCCCGCCGGCCCCCGAGTGCGCCCTGGCCTCCAGGGTGCCCGACTGAGGACAGATCAGGCAGTGAAGACTCACCTGAAAAGCAGATGAGCAGGTGCGCCGTAAGAGGGTGACACAGAACACCACAGACACCTGGGGCCACGTGTCAGAAGAAAGAGCTGTTTAGGTGGAATCTCAAAGCAAGACCCTCAACGCCTGCTGTAAACAAGAGATGCAGCTGACGTAATTTGGAAAGGCGTCCGAAGGTGGGGCCAAGGCAGGCAGCTGGGATCAGGCGTCAGGACCCGACATCAGGCAGAAGGCAGGCCAAGCCCAGCGCACTCCAGCAGACGAGACGAGGCGCAGCCCCACAGCAGCTGAGGGCATGGTCACCGGCGAGGCGTCTGTGGACACTCAGGCCCCAGATGCGGCAGCAGCGGTTATAAAGCAGAAACTGCTGAAGATGCTCAGAGGGTCACAGAAACTAAAGGAAATCTCTATACCTGTTCTCTCCATGTCCAAGCAAACAATATTCAAATAATGAAACAGAAATAACTATATACAGGATATAATTAATGAGGTGACTCTGGTGGACAGACACTGAACTTTGTAGCCTGAAACAAGAGAATACTGCTTCAAGTTCCCCTGAAAGACCCACGAAGACTGACTTTTAACTGGTCAGAGAGCACTTCTAACTTCCAAAAACTAGAGTTCTCTTTCCTGTCCAGTCGCAATGTAACGAGACTAAAAATTAAAACGGTACGGATGTTCTTTAAAACAAGTCATGAGAGAGACGCCAGACACAGAAACGTACAGGTTCCACACCTCCACTCATTGGAACCTTCCAGAACAGGCACGTGGATCTGGCAGGGGTGCTGAGGGCATAAGAGCACGGGGTGCTGGCTCGCCCGCACATTGCTCTGTCTCATTCCCGTAACCGCCGCGGTAAAACTGTTGGCAGTGAGACGTCCGGGACGTAGACGAGCCTCAGAGAGAGCAGACGCCGCTCCCCGGCCCTCTGCCTGCATCACAGCAGGACAGGGCCGCCCCGGGTCCCTGCGGGGACCGCCGCCCCGCAGGCAGAGCTGGTGTTTTAAGGAGACAGAAACACTGACTTGGGGGGTAACATACCCTGACTCCTAAAGGCGTGCTCAAATTAAAACGAGCACACTGTGGTGAGGCGCAACCCCTCACCCCAGCCTTGGCCCTGACACGGGGCCGGGGGTGGGGGTGGGGCTCCTTTGCCTCTCACCCCTCCCTCTTCCAGCCAGAGCCTGAGGTGGCTGGCACCACAGAACCCCTGTGTCCTGAACCAACAGCTTCCACAGCATCGAGGGAAACTGCAGCTGCCGCAGCCGGGTTTCCAAGCAAGCAGGGTAGGGTGTTGAGATGCAGAGGGAGCTGCTCCGGACGCAGAGATGCTGCCCGCCCAAAGCAGGACAGGCTGGCAGCCCCTCGCAACGTGAGCCCACCAGCCTGCCAAGCGCAGCAGGAACCGGCCACGAGACCTGCTGGGGTGCAGGGAAGCACACGGCTGAGGCAGGTCCGCGGAGGCGCTGAGGTCTGCCTGCTTAGATTCTCCGCCGTGCCGCCCCGCCCCAGGGGCCCACGGGATCCCCAGCACCTGGACGGTGGAGGACGTGAAGCAGACGCGCACTGAAGATGCCTGTGAGGGGTCCCCACTGTGGCCTCCTTTGCTCAGAGGCAAGAGAAGATGTTTTCATAGGCGACTCCAACAGAGTGTGGGGACTGTCCCAGGACAGAGGTGAGCCGGGAGCAGCCGGGTGGAGAGGGGCCCGTAGCACGTCCCCTGAAAACAGGTCTCCCACAGATGGGGTGGGGCGGCTTCAGGATGGCTTGGTGCATCCCGTGTACCGGGCACTTTCTCTCTGCTGTTATTACGTCAGCTCTACCTTAGTCCCCAGGCACTAGATCCGAGAGGCGGGGGCTCCTGCTCTAAAGGGACAGGACCCCAGCTGCTCCCGAACTGGGAGGGCAGACATGGCGGCGGCTGGTCCGCAAGGGAGGGCCCAGGTGGTCCCGGGAGGCTTGGGCTGGGGGGCCTGCAGCTGGCCCGGACTGTGCTGTCTACACCCGCAGCGCTGTGGGACGCGGGGACGGGGTGTCTGGAGATCCACTAACACCGGTTACCCCCCGTCCCCTGCTCCATGACCACAGCCCTGGGCTGGGTCTACACAGAGGCCGGCCACCCACCCGGCACAGGGCTTGGTGGGGCGCAGGCAGGGAAGAAGCTGGGAGTGCAAACCACAGCCGGGGCGAGAGGAGGGGCTGACTAGCTCCGGGGGTGGGGGACAGGGAGGTGGCCAAGGGGA